TGAACCAATGTCAGCTGTATCAATGGAAGACTACGAAAAAAAGGAACAGATGCAAAATGCTAACAGTCTTGTTCAATTAATGGATCATCATTATAGGCGAAATGTTGAACTGTGCATACTAATACATTTCAAAGATTACATGTCTTCACAATTTAGATATTTCCATCACCGCTCCTTGTTATCTTATGAATTCAACTTTACAGGGCAATTAAAAAATGGCTCCAAAGAAAGCACTTTGCCCTACTTGAATGTTCTGGAGGGACTACTTGAGAAAGTGTTCCACTCTCCTCTGATGAAAAATGTCTGTAGAAATGTATAAAGCCGCACTCCCTCCAGAGAGCGGTTTGGCATTTTTGTTTTACTGACGTCCCTGCCAGCCCTGGTTTTACAATACCTGTAAATTATTGCACTGCTCTGAAGCCCCCACCCTTGCCACTTTTTTTCCTCCTCTGTCTCATCCCTCTTTGTTTCCTTAACTTTCTTCCTTTAGACCTCCCACACAAATCACATACCTGTCTTCCAGCAGCCTTAACATTTAGCTTTACAGTATACAACCACAGAAGCAGCGGGTGTATCTTTTACACGTTAATATGTTTTTCCATGCTGCTGCTCAGGTCTCCATCCGTACATAGTGTATTTATTCATAGTAGTGGCTGATGTTTTTTTATGTGTGTTTTTTTTTTTTTTTTCTCCATCCCCTACCATTTTTGGCTCATCTGCTTTTCTACCTCTGCCAGAGAACCTAGGGCTGACCCTTACAGCATATCAAATTCTACATTTCACAGCTTTTTTTTTTACCAACACTGCTGAGTGCGGGGAATATTATCCGCATATTTATTCCTCTCTGGATGCAGGTTTCTCTCCAAATTTGCACTCTACATGCACAGCCATGTTTGTTGCCACCAGAGGTCAAAAGGCCACAGAACTGTCCCTATTTGCTTTGCATGTGTTCCATTAGCATCGATTCCCTATTCCACGTGAAAAGTGCAGTTAATACCAGGCGAGTAGCTCAGCTTGTTTTATTTATGAACATGTGCCCGTGGAGACATCCATTATCTTCAGTTTTTACAAAGCCCCAGCGTAGAAACTGGTAGGGGAGTGTTATACAGGATCCCAAACTGTTTTTACCCGTGAGCCCATCTTATTTAAGCACATTTCTTCATACAGGACCCAAGGGTATTGTGGATTACACCAGAACTATACCATAGCTCATATTTCAGTGGGGGAATATGAAAAAGCATAGTTCAAACAGTTGATATCTTGCATTGGAAATGAGAGATGGCTGGCTAAAAGGCCTGCTTACAAGGGAGTTTGACACATCCTGTGCTGTCCATGTCAATTCCTTTGATGCCAATCAGAAGATAAGCCGTCTCACATTTGATGGCGATGAAACAGAAGCAGAATGGTTAGTCTTGGCCGTGTGTCATGGGTTTTTCAGGCTAGGACTTAACACAGATCATTAGACCCACATGTCATTAAAATATGTAGTGTGAAATCCGAGCAGCATAAAAAAGAGAGACGTAGATTGAGAGAGAGCGAGACACATCAGTAGTAATGTGCAGCTCTTTGTGGTCAGCTAATTAAGATTACATTGAGTGAATTGATTGTAGCAGGGTTTGTGCTGCGTTTTCTTTGGCAACGCCACGGTCGGAGGAGACATAAGACTGTAGGAACATAGACGAGATGAGAGCAGCTTTGGTCTGTCAGCGAGAGGACAACTCATCAATTGCTTGTTCTGTAGTCAGATGCAGACCACAGCTTCCTGCATTTCCATTAATTACAGTGCGTGCAGTTGTATTTACCATCCAAGTAGGCAGGTATCTCAAACCTGACCAGTGGATGTGACAAGGAATCATGCCAAGTGTGTGTATTTGTTTTCTTATTTAAAATGAATAAAACCATTTGCAAAAGTAAAATCAGGTTGTAGTGGAAGTATTGGTACTGTATGAGATACCGGGATGATTGAAAGACTGACTGACGTAATGATAGGCTGGGTAAATAACAAAAGGTTTGCAGAGAATCAAATGCCTTGTATTGATTATGCTGAAGTTAAGGAAGTCTTGCAGTTCTGTGTGAACCACAATGTATGGTGATGTTTCCATCTCAAGGGAACAGGTTTTTTCTCACTTGTCATTATTCAGCTGGACTCAGAACAACACAAACCACAACACCATAGTTATTATAATATATTATTCCGTTTTTTTTCTTTCATCGTCAAAATAGTATAATATGCCCATAATTTCCCAGTCCAAGCCTTCAAATTGCTTGTTTTGTCCAAAAGCAGTACAAAACTCTCTCAAAGAGATTTGGGTTTTAATCATACGTGGCAACAAAAACCCTCAGAATCTTAAAAAGCTGAAACTAGAGAATGTTTTTGTAATGTATTTTTACCTGAAAGATGACGCAAATGATTATTATTAATGTAAATCTTAGCCATATTTAATCCAGAGAGACGCATTCTGTTGTATTTGGGATAACAAAACGTATCCTACAAGTTGGAAACATATCCAGCCTTTCTCATCACTTCATACAGACCATGAAAGTGAAGCCAGGGCGCGGGTGTTGAATTTCAGACTCTCGATATTTTAGCTACCTACAGTACTCATTCCTTCTGAGAAACTGTTTTTCCAGACAGTCATTACTCATTTCATTGTCACTTCTACAATTGTTTTCAGGCTAAGATTTCGCTGATACTGTGTCATCTGTCAAGTGTTAAAGTCTATGATTGTTAGTAAAAGGATAATCAGTCTACCTGTATCTTGGCATCCCATGTGGAATCGACATGCACTTTGACGGCCGTCCAGCTGTGCATTGACACTATATGTCACTGGGTCTCATCATAGGCCGGTCGGGCGCTTCCATTTAGCTCATACATTTATCTCCATTTGCCCATCCATTAATCTCTCTTTACTGTAACCCATCCAGCTACTGGCTAGCCAAAGCAGATGAGACGCCCCATTACTTATTTAGCACCACTTTAAAGGGGACCCAAGTCAATTGAGAAGCTGCTCTCGTTTACGGTAACAACATTTGCCGAGCTGTCTCAAACACAGTGGGTAAAGATGAGATTGAGCGAGATGGAATCAAGTCAATAAAGACATGGAGGATGATGTGCCCCGCGGTCAGATAGTTAAGTGAAGGTCAACCTGCTGGGGCACTGTGTAATCTGGTGGCTCTCTGGACGGTGACAGGCAGACAGATTCGTAAGGCCAAGGTGGAAAAGTTCCCTGGCCTTCAGTATCCCCTAAATCGATGTGACCAGAAGAGGAGAGGGATAGTTTGTACCCTTGTAATGAAATTCTCATATTATAGTGGATCCTTGTTCTGAGGAGGGCAGGTTTTGATGCATTGAGAGCTCATGGGAAAGGACACACGATAAGGGGGTAGTGGGAAAGAGAGAGGGAGAAAGGGAAAGAGAACAGGCTCTCCAACCAGCCTGGCTTGTCTTTTTATGTGTGTGGATAGGCCAGCATGGACACTTTACCCAACCTAATCATGATTCCCCTCTTTTATCTGAGTGCAGTCCAACTGTCCAGGCCTATACATCACAGCTTCCCCAATACACACACACCCATGACTCCCCCACTTTCTGTCTCCTCCCTCCCTTTGTCCACGCTATATATTAACTGTGTATCACCCACTGACACTCTGGCAACATATTAAAAAGAGGGATAGTGGCTGCTCTCTGTTATGGACGGGAAAGTGATTTACCATCGGGCCACATTCCCACCATATTGATTAAAGAACGTGTGTGTGCGTGTGTGTTTCACCTTTTCTCCATCTCCCTGGGCTTTCTCATTTTCCCTCTCTGTCATTGCCTTTCCTCCTCCTCTTGGTTCTCCTTCTCTCCTTTCTCTCCTCCTTTTATCTCTCACTTCACCTCCACTATCTCTGATGTTGCCCAACAACCTCCACCACTTCCCAGTGTCTCTCTCTCTCTCTCTCTCTCTCTCTCTCTCTCTCTCTCTCTCTCTCTCTCTCTCTCATATCTACGTTGGCCCGAGACTCATGTGACTGATTGTGTGTGAGAGTACAGCTGAGGCATGGGTAAGGAAGGGCGGGAGGGAGGGAGTAGAAGAGTGAAAATAAGCAAGACAAAGAGAGGGCAAGAAAAGAAAAAACCTTTCTCACTGTAATTCTATCTACTGTAGCTGCAGCACAATTCATTCATTCAGATAATCTCAAGTAAAAAATGCAGGCATTACAGGTTTGTGTCACATTTAAAATTCTTCAGTTCCCTTCCTACACATTTTTTTCCCATATGCTTAAGGAGAATTCAGAAATAAGACATACACCCTGCAATACCCCTATGATACTGTGGAGCCATGTATGAACCTTTATTTTCATTATTAGCTAAACTATTGGTTATTTTTTGATGAATCAATTAATTATTTACTATATAAAATGAAAAAAGAAAAAACGTTAAAAATGCCCATCACGAGTTCCCAGAGCCCGAGATGACATCTTGAAATTCCAGTTATATACTGACAAAAGAAGCAAATCCTCACATTTGCCAGAGAATGTTGTCAATGTTTAGCCACATAGTGGTACTATTCTAGGAATGGCATTGTCAGTCAGTTGATATGTCCACCACCACTCAAGACTGAGACTATTTGATGGATCTCATTTGATCACCTTTGAAATGTCTCGACAAATTTTGGATTGATTGCCATGAAATTTGCTTCATATTACCAAACTAATTAGCACCAATATAGCATTAGCATGCCTACATGCTAAACTAAGATGATGAACATGACAAAGATTATACCTGCTATCATCAGCATGTTAGCATTGTTATTGCGAGCATGTAAGCATGCAAATAATATTAGCAAATATTTGGCTTATGACCGAATATGGGAAAAACTAATGACACATATTAACTCTACTTTATGTTTATTTGCTAATTAGAAAATATTATCCTGCTAAGATGATATGAAAACTTACTTAAAAACGTATATGTGCGTCATCATTGTGAGGATTTTTATCATTAACCTTGTTAGGCACCTGGACTTGCAAGAGCAGAGACCCACAGGAGAATCCATCTTAAACTGTGACCAAACCACTGTAGTCCGGACCAGTCAGCATCCTATGAGGAACTTCCAGCACCTATGGCATGCAGGTGTGGTTTAATGCTAGGTGTGTGTGAGAAGTGACTGTTTGCTTGAAAACCACAGTGGCAGCTGATAAAGAAGTGAGCGTGGATGTTGATGTAATCATTTAAAAGCGCCGCTTGGGCACAGCACAGCTTCACAGAGTTGCTGGAATGGCTGTACTATTCTTCTTAAAAAAATATATTATTAAATTGCTCATAAAAATCTTTGTGAATTAATTTTCTGCCACTTGAATAATTGATGAACTGCTGTAGCGGTAGTCACATTTGACCCCATCCATATGAGACTGCTGTCACAGATTGTCACAACTGCTAATCCACAGAATTACTTACAATTATGCATTACAAAAAAAGTTTCCCTCTTACCTGCCCACTCTGAATCTCCTTCTCTGTTTTTTCTCTCTTACTTCCTTTAGGTCACTTTTTATGACTAGTCAAGCAGAAAGTAAATGCCTTTTTATAAAATGTAATTTTAACCATGGTAGCTTTGAATGAAGTTTCTATTCCTAATAGAGACGACTTCTCACTAAATCTTCCCAGTGTCCGACCTTCATCCAACCTAGGTGGGAAGAGGGTCAAATTAAACTATACCATGACAGAACACATTCTCCTCTCTTACAATTTAGTGTATGCCTCATTCTCCTAATCGTTACCTCTTTTTCCCTCTATTTTTATTTTTGGTTATTTCAGTGGCCTCTCTATTTGTTCATTCCACTTGCCTAGGCTGTCTCCTGGGCCATTAATCTATAGCGCTCCAACCGCTCCTCTGGGCCAGACCGGGCTGCGGCGCCACTCACTGTGCGCTCTGAAAGGCCACTGTGTTCACTACAGATATGAGACGAAGGACAGAGACAGAGAATGGCTTTTAGAGAAAGCACCCAGAGACATGAGATAAGTGGAGGGAAGAGAGGGAAACGAGGAGAAAGGGAAATGCACTCGCCCCTCCTTCACTTTTCATGTCATCTAAGGCAGAAGTGACAGAATCATGTATTTGAGAGAGTGATATGATGTTGCCCTGAACAACTGCACTGAGGTTACCGTGGCGTCTGCCCTTTTGAAAAGGTTGAGATTTGAGGAGATTAATATGCCGTTGGATCACACTGGGGGATTTCGGGCTCGCCCGGAGCCAGCCTGGACACGCAGCAGCCGTCAGTGGTGACGGGGGACTCAAGCAGATGGCCTGGCTTAATCAGGGAGAGCGCGCTGTCCTGGCTGTATGTTTGTGTGTGTACCTGAGTTCGCGATCGTGTTTGTGTGACTCAGAGTAAGGGAATTTTTGTAAGCACTCGATGTACGTGTGCACTGATACTTGTGTGTTTGTGCTTCGTAAGAAAAAGCAATGGATGCAGAAAACTTGGCAGTGAAGACTGCCTGACTCGAGGCTCTGTCACTAACCATGATAGAAAGTATTGGAGCTGACTGTGCTGGGAATTTGGTGCGTAGCACATCTGAACTCTGTTTAGCTTTAGCTTTAATGTAATTGACTCTCTTAGAAAGAAACATCAGCCTTTGATGTATTAGATATTTCCTTGTACTGTGCCATTTTGACTTAAATCTATAAACGGCCCTCTTTATCCAGCACGAGTACGCAAAAAACTCACTAATCTAAAACTGCCTCTGAGAAGTAGTTCTCAATTTTTTTTTCAAATTATTATTATTTCAGAGAAAATCTCCTTTTAATGCCATCGCTCAGGGGAAAAACATAAGAGCTCATTAACAGTCAATACCTTTTAAAATGATTTTGTGTATAATTACACGCATGATAAATCAGCATCATTATTGGAATGGCGTTCTACAAGTGTCAGATTGTCCATATATTATCTGCGCTGCTTTTCAGATCGAAGGTTGACCTGATATTAAGTTTTCTTTCCCGACAGTTTCAACATGTTCTCACCAGGGAGATGAACAGTACAACCAAGTCATTACTGTTGTCTAGGGTGTCACTTGGGGAAAGTAAGGCAGTGTGTGTGCATTTCCTCACCTTGAGGACCTGGGTTCTATTCCCAGACTGAGAAAGATTCATGCAAACCCCCTGATGGCCTTGAACTTAGATGGGGCCAAGCTAAGAGAGACAACTGAGTACGACTTAAGGAAATTGTAGTACAGTATATCTTGTGCAGTGGTGCATTGGCAGTAGTTGTTGAAAGCAGAGGGTGTTATTTGTTCACTCTGTGTGTCCTCAGACACTCTGGGGATTCAAACCAGTGAGTTTTCCAGTCATAAGCGGGCTTTCTTTACCACTGTCCCCGCTGTCAGGAACCAAAGTTTAAAGGGAAACAAGGGAAATGTTGGCTGTATAAGCTGTCAGACCTTCTCATTTCCTGTAAAACGTAGACTTAAAAAGAACATTTAATAAAGGCATTTAATAATTTCTGCTGAGGAACAGGGAACCTTGGATGGTAGTGGGATTTAGTTCTTTGTTAAATCGCCTTTTAGTGCTACAATACGGATGATGCTTTGCATGAATGCTCACAGTATGAATCTTTTTATTTCCATACATTATACTTTATTCAGCCTCTCTTTCCTGCCCTCTGGTCTTGGTGCAGGGTCAGCCAGCAGGACTGGGGCCCCTAGAGCAGGTAGGGTAGGTTAAATATCTTGCCTTGAGGCTCTTGGAGCACTATGTTTACTCAGGGGGATCAAACCTTAGGCCCTCCAGTCTAAGGATGACCCCTGTAACCGCTTAGTTGTGCAAAAGTCAAACATGCATGCTCATGTAAGGCAGAAATGGAGCTAAATGCAGAGCCTCTGTTGCTTCCGGGGGGTCATGATACTATCCAGCCCCAAAGCATTGCTGTTGTAACGACGGGAAGAGTGAAATCAAAGATGTGCAGGGCATTTCCATGGTAACAGAAGTGATGCCATGATCCGGTCAAGAGACAACCACATGCCATGGCAGCTTTTTATAGTAAAGGCCAGTCAGCTCGCAGACTTCTCCATTGTAAATCACTGTCACTGTATCCACTCCTCTTGCTCTCTTCCACATTGTCTCCCATCTCTTGCTCCCGTTTAATTCTCTTGGTCTCTTTTTCACTCTCTCATTGCTGCTCTGTCTCTGTTATTGATGTCTATATCTCTTGATCTCTCCTCCAGCTTGGCCGTGCACTCTAAGCGGGTGGTGTTGAAAGAGACGGATGCTCACTACCCTCAGTAATCTCCGCAGCAGCCATTTAGATAATTAAGTCACTATTCTTGCACTTGCCTCCTGTCCCGCTACCAAAGCTGAACTACACACATACTGTCCATCTTTATATAGATACATATATGTGGTGTGTGTGTGTGTGTATCTATGTATGTATGTATCTATGTATGTATGTATGTATGTATGTATGTATGTATGTATGTATATACATACCTACTGTGCTATGTTTCATATATATATATATATATATATATATATATATATATATATGAAACATGTCACAGTAGGTGCAATAATGCAAAAGCACTTGCAACATATCAGGTTTTTGTCGCTCCAACTGCCCTGTGTGTTTGTGTGTGTATGGGTCTGTGCGCGTGTGTGGCATCAGCAGTGAGAGCTGTTGTTTGTTTTGATGCCGTTGTTGGTTTTTATTTAGAGAACAGAGAAATTCGCAAAAGGATGCAGCGGGGAGAGAAAAGGCGACAGCTGCCATGGGCCACAGAGAATACACACACACACAGACACACACACACACACACACATACATACAGGCATAAACACGCTGCATGATTGGCGTCTAGAAATCTGCCTCTCCCACACCCCGTAGAAAAAGCATGAAGAAATGCTGGATGGGAAAGTGTGCACACTAGCCCCAGGGTTTTTCTCCAGCTTTATGTCTTGCCGTTGTGATAATGTGGCGTTTTGTTGAAAGTCGGTGTTTTAATTAACTGAGCAGCAGCGTGCGGTGGTGGAGGTAGCAGTGCCTCTCTGTTCCTCAGGCTAATCACAAGCTGACAACCAAACATGGGCAGGGTGTTACTAACTCGGTCATTGCAATATTTCATAATGCCGTGGCCGTTCCTGTCTACACGGGAACCAGTGAGAGCTGACACTTTTGGACAGAAATATGATGGTTTGCCCATGTTGTTTTCATCATGCAAAAGTGAAACCAGAGCCTGTGTGTTCAAACTACAGTAAACAAGCGGCTTGGAAACACTTGCATCATGTCGTATCCCCCACAAAAACACACATGCACTACTCACGCACACATACAGAGGTGCCTGTTTTTCCAGATTGGAAGAAAGTTTTACTTATTAATGCTTCACTAAAAGAATTGTGCTGATGCACTCTGAGGGGGAACTTTGCTGTCAGTGGTGCAGGTATATGCGATATTTCTTAATCTTAAGAAAAAATAACCCTCAGCCTCACTTCCCTTTTATTTCTCCTCTGTCTGTCTACCTAATTCACCATATCCCCTGTTTCTTATCCACTTTGAATGATTTGGCCTTTGCTTGCATGCTTTATCAAAGAGAAGATGATCAGGAAGTGTCTGTCTCTGGCAAAATGAGGCAGTGTGTGCATGTTACCCACCAGTGTTTCTTCCATCAAGGTGTCAGATTATAGTACAATGTGCCATCTCTCACTATCATTTTCTTTGCAACCTCTGTGGAAATCCTAATAGACAGATAGGATAAGGAGGAGGATTCAGATTAGTGCTAGATCTGCTCAGAATGACTGGTAACTACCCCATGGTTCAGGCATATTTGCGTGTCAAATGCTTCCCAGTTTTACTCTAGCTAAGTAAAACCAGCTGTTATCATGTAAATAGTCTGAATAATGAAATGTAATATCTGTGATATTTTTGATAATAAAAGATAAAAAAAATAAAGCTAGTTTATATGCTTCTTATAGTCTGCAAAGCTGTTTTTGGACTGAATGGTGCCTTAGCTGGTGTGCTCTGTTGTGAGACATCCTACGTTTTTGTGATACATTGCTGACTGTGTGATGTCTCTGGATTCCACTCAGACCACTAATGAGGTGCACGGTTTGTAGCAAAGTACAAATTTTCCCTCAAACCGCTGGGATT